GTCTGGCAAGCTTTGCCCCTCACAGGCTCTGTACCTATCCCCAGTCTCTATCTTCGGTCCTCTTAACACTGACTCTGAGATTCAAGGTGTCCCCAGGCACGCCTTCTAGTGGCTCCCACCTTGCCTACAGCCACAACCCAGTCCACCGGATGAAACAAAAACCAGCAAACATGGGCACATTCCATAGCTCAAACACCTGCTCCACCTGGGTTAGCCTTACCTTCCAATGAGGCTTACAAACCAAAACAGAAAAATATTCAGAATACTTATGTCGCTCCCAATAAGGGTTCTTAGGTTCCTTTCACCCTGTCTGTCCTTCTGAGTCCTTTCTTCATAGCCTTGGTTTGGCCCCGGGCTCTTCCATCTGGAGCTTTGCTCCCTGTAGGTCCTATGGCCAAAGTGCTCCTCTGGCCTGAGGCTTGGGCTTATAAAGTCTCTTCCAGGTCACTTGACACCACTTCCTCCCCTGGGCAATCAGACACTGTCTGCACATGAGTAGCTATCTTGTCTCAGGCGTCTCTGAATGTTAGTTTGGCCCTGGCAACACAAAGGAAGTATGACTAAAAAGGAAGAAAAAGAGGAGGGGGAGGAGAGAAAAGGGGAAAAAAAAAGGAAAAAAAGAAGAGAGAAACTGATAGGGAAAGAGAGGATGAAGTACCCCTGATCCCTTTCCCTCTCTAGTAACAGGGTAAGGCCCCCATTACAGGAAGAAAATGAGACAGGGATGGGTGAATGTCAGAAGTGAAGTGATACCAGGGATCCTCACTTTCTCTGTTAAAACAAACTCACATTCTCTGATTAAAAAACCCCCAAAGCCATGTTTTTTCCTCAATTTAAATGAAACGCCACTATATATATAGGTATCCATTGAACACAATGTTTAATTGATATATTCACAGTTTTAAAACAATTAGGAAGCCTTACCAGTGCCTCAATCATTATAATAAACTCTAAATACCTATATATTTTGGCATTTGATTTTGCGTTTTTTTATCATGGAAAATCAGAGTTCCCTCTGCCCCCTTCACTCACCACAGTGGAGGCCAGCTATGTGTCCACCTTGCAGTCATTTTGTCTTGTCTGCCTTAGGTTGTTAATGAGGTACTCATGGGAGACTATGCCAAAAGCCTTGCTAAAGTCAAGGTTTACCATATCCACTGCTCTCCCCTTAGCCACAGAGCCTGTCATTTTCTCAGAGAAGGAAAGAAACCAGGGCCTTGAAAATAACCCAGTGGTAATACAACCAGTCATTGCACTTCCTGATTTATTTGCATGCTGAAATTCCATTGCCTAGAATAAATTAGCACAATAAAATATTTGCATGCTTCAGGTTCTCAGTGATGCCCAGGGACTTGATTGTGCACAAAGGGAAGGAACACTAGATTAGCTACAATTTTTACTATTCTTAAAGGCATTTAACTACCACTCCTGTGTGGAGGAAAGTTAAGGAAGGCAAGTAGTTCTTTCTTCCTTGAAATCAAGAAGAAAGATACAATGTAAGGCTTTCTAATCTTATATGGTGTCTGGTTTTGAAAGTTTAGCTGTCAGATAATGACTAAGACCCGTGAATCCCCGTAATAGGTGTTCTTCTATTCTTGGAAAAGGTCAAACTTGCTTTGTGTAGTTGCCTTGTTTCAGAACCTGAGTTTCCCATTCTCGCATATGAGGCGACTTTATTCTCAGAAGCACCTTTTTTGTTTCCCGGATGTAGTGAAATGCTGAGGAACTTTATATCATGCGTTAGAGGATAGGACTCCTGCTTGCAAAAGAAATACCTACTCTGAAACATGAGGGCATCAGTGATGGGGTGTCTAAGTGGTCTTCCAACTGTTTGTGTGCCATCCCCTCTACAACAACTTTCCCATGTATGCATGTATTCCCTAAAAGCTTCTCAATTCACATATTCTTCAAGGGTTGGAATCCACACAAACATACACAACTTGATGAAAAGCATTTTTTAACACATGGCTATTATAAGTGACATATCAGAACCCTTGTTTCAGTAGAGGAGTAATTCCTCCTTTTTCTTCCGTGGTTTACTGTGCAAAAATATTTCACCGTCACACTGCAGATTATTTTTCTCAGTAGCTTGGGGTACTGAGTGTCTTTGCTGATTACTTTGATTACACAACTGTTATGTGGCTTTACATCTGATTTCTATTTCCAGTTCATAGTAATAAGTTTGCCTGGGTTTTGCCCATTTCAATGCAGGAAAGCAGTCTATAGGGTGAAGCTTCTGTTCAGGAGGCTAAAGCATATCGGCTTCTCATGCTTTTCATCAGTAGGGTTTAGGCTTTTTGTGATGACTGCACCCATTTTCATTTTTTTTAATGCAATTCACTGCAACAAGGAACTGGAAGTTAAATGTTGCTGAGACCTTGATAGGAGCAGACCATATTATGAGAGAGGAGAATATGTTTTTAATCTTTTTGAGAGAGCTGAGTATAGCTGTGTTTCTTGAAAGACCCTCAAAATTTTGTAAAGCACCTCTTAAAATGGAAGAAATGAGGAGGTCCTGATAAAACTCTGGTAGCTCATTCAGGTCCTGTTGAGGAGACTTCACAGGTAGAAGAGCTGCCAGTCATACGCAAACTCTCAGAGGTGGTGGAGGAAGGTGTGTCCTACGTGGCTCCATGCTGCATTGCTACTGGCGCTGTATAGGAGCCTCTGCAAGGTCTATAGGTGGAAGATGTGAGCCTGACTGCAGAGCCAGACTAGACCCTGCCTGCCCTCCTGCAAGGGGAGGCTCAGGACCTCTGCAGAGACCCAGTGCCATCCTGGCCGGAAGAACCCCAGCACCCATCTCTGGAGCTTGGCCAGGAGCTCCAGTGGCACAGGTAGGGTGTTGAAACAATGCCAGATCATGGACATGACAACCTGAGAGATGACCAGAGCCATCCCACAAAGGAAGAGGTACTTCAGCAGTCCCACCTATGCCTGCAGCTGCTCAGACACCCTGACCTCTAGCCACTGACAACATGTAAGGCACAACTCCACACCGCTGCTGTCAGGCACTAGCTCTGGTCAGTCTGAAGCTCCGTGCCCCACAGTCAGTGCAGAAATCACACCGTGACCACCACCCCCACTGCTGCTGGGCCCTGGCTCTAGCTAGGCTCCAGCCCCACACCCCACCATTGGCACAGAAATCAGGGGGCATGC